AACATTATTCCATATCCCATACTCTAGAACAGCCTTTCTCAACCATTTTATCCAAAGGAATCCAGGAAAAGAATGTTCAGGTCTCAGAGAAGCTCATGCATAAAAATATGAAACCACAACACAATTCTAGCATTGCATGGTGCATGAAGTTCAAAAAACTATTTTTTTTCAATCCCTATCTCGTGAGAATTCCTAGCAACCTCTTGTAAAACCTAAAACTTCCATGGAGCCCAGTTGAGAAAGGTTACAGGGATGGGCAATTAATGTTCTCAAAGGCCACATGAGAAACTGGGACTGTTGTGGAGAGCCAAATCAATAGGACCAACACATTACTGTGAAGATGTGTAGGCACTCATGCACATACATAAATTGGAAAAAAAAAGTAGCAGTCAAATTCAAAATAAAAGCAATGCAGTTGTGTTGCCTATATGCCATTTGCTTATTTACATTCATTTCTAATTTCAGAGTGATTTTATGCAGGGCTGACAGAAAGAGCCAAAGGGCTACATATGCTCTGAGGCCTATAAAATGCCCAGGTCAGCTTTAGAATAATGCAGAAACAAGTCAGGCCCTTCCTTCTTCAATGTGACATATTTTCATGTATTCAAAAAGTGCCATCATCTCCCTAAAATTATTCCCTCTGAAGGCTAAACATATCAAGCCCTTCAGTCTCAATTTCCATTCCTATTTGATAAGCAGAGGAGCATATAATGCCTTATGGCATCATGTCCTAAAGCAGTATCAAATGCCTGAAAATAGAGACAATCTAACTTGCTGTCTATACATATATCACTGCCTATCTTGACCACCTTTGGAGAAAGGCTTTGCACACAATTGCACATGCCATAATTTAGCCCAAGAGCCAAAATACTATACTGTTACAAAGTGCTACTCTGTATATTGTTGATGTCCAGACCTCTTGACCACATGTTGTTAATTCAGGACAAGATAATCATGCTACTGTACCAAACGAACATAAATCCAAACCAATAACATTAGTTTTGGCACTGCATTAGTAAAAAAAAAAAAAAAAAGATTCCTCCAACCATAATATAAAATCAAAGGAGTGCTAAGAGCTTCAGCATATTAAGAAGTTCATTTATTTTCTATTGCTACTCATTGGTAATAATCTTCAAACCTTTTGATTTATCTGTAATTTTTTTCTCCACAAGCAGTGAAAGTATAAAAGCAATTTCTAGTGCAAGAGCTATGTCGGAACAAAATATCAATACAAAAAGTATTGTGGCAATCAGGGCAAAGAATTGGTTTATTATAACATAAGCTTTTCTAAAGATGGAAATAGAGATTATACCCTAACAGTAAACGAGTCTCACACTCACGTGCATACAAAAACACAAGTTCAGCAGTGTTAAAATTTTCTAGCAACCTGTTCAAGTGTTTTAAGTTTACCAAAAATGAAGGTTTAAATTAATAAAAAATATTATTTTCTGCCCCTAAGCATGATTACTTCTGGTAATACTAGTAATTTCACTAGTATTTTCCTATGACCTAAATACTAAATTCAAAGGAACACATGCAAGTAAATATATGACTGCAGCCATAAATGGTAATCCCGCTATTATAGCCTATTTGTCATAATCAAAGATGATTGATGCAGAAATGTATGGTAATAAGACATAATGTGAGAATTACATATGAATATTAATAAGGCAGCATATGATAAATTTGTTTCTAGTACATATCTTGAGATAGAGGGTTAAACACAGTTACAGCACTTAACAATTTTTTTCTCTTACCTTTCAAATAGAAAGTATTTTATTTTCCTTAACTAGGGCACATATTATATCATCTTACATAATTTAATAATACAGGTAGTCTTTGATCTACAACAACTTGTTTAGTGACAGTTCAAAGTTACAAAGGCACTGAAAAAAGTGACATGACCATTGTTCACAGCTACGACCTTTCCAGCATCCCTATGTTCATGTGATCCAAATTCAGATGTTTGGCAACTGATTTATATTTATGACGGTTGCAGTGTTCCAAGATCACGTGATCATCTTTTACGACCTTCTGACAAGCAAAGTCTATGGAGAAGCCAGATGGACTTTTAACAACCGTGTTACTAACTTATCAACTGCAGAGATTCATTTAACAAGAGTGGCAAAGAAAGGTGGTAAAATGGGGCAAAACTCACTAACTGTCTCAGTTAGCAACAAAAATCTGGGGCTCAACTGAGACTGTAAGTCGAGGACTGCCTATATAGTGGAACTGAGCTGAGACTTAAAATAACTGAATACATTTACTCTGAATTTGAGGGAACCTCTTTCTGCCCTATTATCCCAAGGTGGTTTAGGAAGAAAGGCATTCAGAAACAATTCTTTTGTTCTTTTTTATCCTTCTTCCCAACTCCAGAGAATGTTTGAAAGGAATTATGTAAAAGAGGTCAAAATTCTGTCAGTCTGACAATCAGAACAAAATGTGATCTAGTTTGGTATGGTAAGACAAGTCAACAAAAGAAAGACCAAATTCAAAAATGACCCAGATTTGGTTGGAGGCTGTAGAGCAAAAAATCCAGAAACAAATTTCACAGTGCATCACTGTGGGAAAGGGAGCTGGCATTGGCCACAAGGTAATAATGATGATGATGATAATAATAATGATGATGATGATGATGTTGGAAGGGACCTTGGAAGTCATCTAGTCCAACCCCTGCACAGGCAGGAAACCCTATACCATTTCAGACAAATGGCTGTCCAGTCTCTTCTTAAAAACTTCCAGCGTTGGAGCATTCACAGCTTCTGGAGGCAGGTTGTTCCACTGGTTAATTGTTCTGTTAGAAAATTTTTCCTTAGTTCTAGGCTGCTTCTCCCTTTGGTTAGTTTCCTTCCGTTGCTTCTTGTCCTGCCTTCAGGCGCTTTGGAGAATAGCTTGACTCCCTCTTCTTTGTGGCAGCCCCTGAGATATTGGAAAACTGCTATCATGTCCCCCCTCGTCCTTCTCTTCATTAAACTAGGCATGCCCAGTTCCAGCAACCATTCTTTATGTTTTAGCCTCCAGTCCCCTGATCGTCTTTGTTGCTCTTCTCTGTACTCTTTCTAGAGCAGCGGTTCTCAACCTATGGGTCGCGACCCCATTTGGGGTCGAATGACCATTTTACGGGGGTCGCCAAACAACGCGATCTGCCATTTTTCCCCCTCAGGGGGCGGCGCCGCGCATGCGCGCCGCGTCCGTGTGACCAGGGGTCGCCGTATAAAAAGGTTGAGAACCGCTGTTCTAGAGTCTCAACATCTTGTTGATCACTGTTCCATTATAAGCTCCTCCCTTCAGGTCACATAACCCCAGACAGGATTGATTGAAAAGAATTTCAGTACAGTAGTCATGATCTGCATGTTTTCCCTAATTTGTTCTTTTTCTATAAATGGCTTAAAACAGAATTTAGAGATACCCAGTTCTAATCTTGTTTTAGTCCAAGGGTGGGATTGTTTCATCTCTTTTTCACAGAAGCAGCCTATGTTCAATAATTATCTCCAAATATCTCTTCACAGTAGCTAGTAGATAAATATATTGGTTCCCATATTGAGGCCTCAAAAGTTCTATTAAATTTATTATTTATACTAAGCAACCTATTTCTATTTTTAATAAAAACATTTCCTTGTAATGTATACTTACTTCCAATGTTTATTTATTTATTTATTAAATTGGGTACTTACTTTCATTCACCCCACTGAATTGGATATGAACTTACTTTAAATAAGCATACAGAATATCAGCTTGCATTTCAGCCATGTGAAGCTCCAACTTAAACGTAGTTATTCAGAGATAATTCTTGAGACTTTCAAACTTTATTAATGGTTTAACTCTAAGTTAGGGATAGTTTTGTGTTCTTCAAAAATATTTTTTTGAAATCTGTTAGGGCCTCTCCCCTTATTTGGTAGATGTTTTTCTACTGAAAATTATTGAATTAATTATAGATGCTGACTCATATTAGTACTGTTTTGTGTTTTAATCACAACAAAAAACTCTAAACATAATAGGTGTCCACAACTCTGTGTCTAAAAATAAAAAGACACATAAATGCTTTTGAAACTTTGATAATTCCTGAAAATTACTTAAAAGTTATTTTATAGGTGGAGCTAGTTACTACTGTTACAACCTTCTGTATATTACATATTACAGTAATTCACAGATAAGGTTTTTTTTTAAATATTAGTTGATAAAAATGTTTCATGGATGCTCTGATCAAAATAAATTTAAACAGCTGAGATAACATTCTACAAAGCTGAATTGCATTAAATGGATTGATCTTTGAACTTTCAGAGGCAAGTAGGTCAACAATTAGATGTCAGTTACTACCTGTATGTCTGCTTAAATGTGAATATGCATTACTAGTCCCATCTAGTACCAATCTAACACTTCTTGTTGAAATTCAACAGCCGTTTAATAAAACGAAAATAAGCAGGGGGGAAAGTGAGTCAGTTCTTCCTCAGCAAAAGTTGTCCTGTTTTCAGTTACATGAGTTGAATGCAAAGATTCAGAACTACAGGTGCATCTACTGTGCAACTGCCCATCTTGGCAACCTTCCTGCCTCTCCTTTTTTTTTTTCAAAAAATTTTTTTTACTCAATTTGGAACCCAATACTCCTACACTCCGGATTTAGTTTTACAACCCAATTACGTCAATCATCCTAAATACATTATTTTCCCCCGCATTCCCTCGCCGTTAGCCGTTCATCTTGGGTCCAACTAGACACGGGCTTAACTGCTTTGGGGAATCGCTGGAGCAGCGATAGATTAAGTGCTTTGGGGATCGCTGGAGCAACTATAGATTTCGTTTACGAGGTACAGTATATCACATGCACGCGTGCACATTTCTAACCGCAACTCACTCAACTCCGGAAATGCCCAAAGCGCGCTGTACCTGCCCCAATTCACACGCTCATCTCTCTATCCTTCACGGACATGACAGCGCAGAAAGCAGAAGCATCGTCTCGCAAGCAAGGCAGGCAGACAGAAACCGCGAGCTCGCATCGCCTGTACCTTCTTCACGTTCCCGGGCGGCTGGCGGCGGTTGCAGTCCCTCGCTGCCTCTCCAAACTGTCCTCTAAAAACAACAAGCCTGACCCACCACGTCCCGCCTGAATCTCCCAGAGCTCCGGTGCGGCCGGAAAGCCTCGGACAGGTTCCCTGGTTACCGAGGGCAACAATCCTACCCCAGCGACAGCCGCGTTTACATACAGAGACAGACACAGACACATACAAACGAACGCACAGACGCGCGCGCGCAGCCACCGAGAGGTGTATGCACTACTGCACCTAGCAGTAGCCAGCGGGTCTCGGGAAGCCCCGCCTCTTTCTCGCCGCCTTCAGCGGAGTACGCAGGGCTCTTCCTCAGCTGCTGGGTGGTTTTTTTTTTTGTTTTTTGTTTTGTTTTTTTTTTTACTTCCGCGTCTGGAGGGAGGCTAGAAAGGAAGGCAGGAAAGGGAGCAGGTGCGTGCGCGTCTACTGGAATGGAGGGAGGGAGAGAGAGGTGAACTCGGCGGCCGCTCCAGGATCCGGCCGAGCAGAGATGCTGCGCCAGAGTCAGGCCAGATGGGCCTGGGCGGGCACGCGCGAGGCAGGATCGGGGCGCCCTCTTTGAGTCCGAGGACCCGAGCGCGCGCCTGCCCGAGAAAGTCTGCCTCTGGCCATTCGCCAGAGGCAGACTTTCTTGCCAGGAGCAGCTATTGGGGCATTTGTGCCTCTCTCTCTCTCTCCCTCTCTCTTCCCCTCACTTTCTCCCTCCCTCCCCTCCCCTCTCTCTCTCTCTCTCTCTCTCTCTCTCCCCCCTTACCTTTCGCCATCTCCCTCTCCCTCCCTCCCTCCGTTTCCCTCCCTTCCTCTCTCTCTCTCTCTCTCTCTCTCTCTCTCTCTCTCTCCCTGCCTCCCACTCCGCAAAAATATTCCCCAGCCCTCTTGTTAATAGAAGGGTTTAGCCGCAGCGCGTACGGCCGAATTTGTGGAAAGGGCGAGCGTGTAACGTGTCTAGGGGAAAGGGTGATGTACTGTATACTATGGGGGCGGCGGCGGAGGAGGTGAAGAAGAGCCTCCATTTTTTTCAAGGACAGAACCTCTCACGTGATCGAGCTAAAATCGAAAAGAAGCGAGTTACGGTTTGGGTAGCAAACGTGTGCCTCGCTTCATGACGGCCCACCCAAAAGGAACCTGTGCAAAAATGCAATTCATTTCTTTTCCCTTGCACTTGAGATGTCAGATGCACATCACGTATTTTCACTCCGCTTAAGTCGTGACATCTTAAATCTCATACATCTTAAATCTCACATACATTTATAGGTAGACCTGGCGATGTCCCCTGATCTGGCTCTCGTGAAACTTATGCAGGTAGCCCTCGACTTAAACCACCACAATTGGGAACATAATTTCCCTTGGTAAGCAAGGCAGTTGCTGAGTCTCATCCAATTTGATGACCTTTTTTGACATGTTGTTAAGTGAATTGTTGCAGTTGTTAAGTGACTCACACAGTTATTAACCAAACTCAGCTGCCCCCATTGACTTTGCTTGTCAGAAGCTAGCTGGGAAGGACGCTGCAGCCATCCTAAATAAATGCTAGTTGCCAAGTACCTGAATTTTGATCATGTAACTGGGAGGATGCTACAACTCGCCTAGGTGCAAGGACCAGTTGTCAGCCACTTTTTTCATTGCCACTGTCGCTAAAAAAAATGATGGTAAGTCGATCCACTCTGCAGCCTTCCCTTTCTGAGATTTTTTTCCCCCAATTTTGTATTTGCTTATTTTGCATTTTCTATTTTTTCTATAAAATTTGTTAAGATAAATATATATTTATTGGTAATAAAACTGTTCTGCAGATGGTTGTGTTTCTATACTTTCATATGACATATGTTCTTGCAATGCTTGATAAAAGGATTGCTTGACTGCCATGAGTTCTCAGTTCCAGTCAAAACTATTGGGCTATTTGGATCATCATCATCATCATTATTATTATTAATCTGTGTTTTCCAATAAAGCACTTCAGCCAGAGATTCACTCATTTGTGATTTTAAAACTATACTACTAATACTGGAATATGCTTTATTGGTAGTTATTACGATAATTTGCAAGTACTCCTTGCTATAGCTAGAGATGCCTTACTGGGAACATCTTCTAAAACAGTATCCCTCAACTCTCTTAATGGACACATCCTAGTAGTTTTCTAGGCAGCAATACAGAAATTTGTTCTAGAATTTCCCAATTTTGGTATTCCTTGGGAAGTCCCAACCAAGAACTAACCAGGACAAACTCTGCTGGGTCTTCCAGTCCTAACAATTTCCCACTTTGTTAGTGCTGCCACCTACTAAGCGGGATCAGATCCAGTTTCCCTACTTGGTATGCTCCAGATGTTTGGTTACCACACTCATCAGCATGGCTGTTGCTCAACTGGAATATTCGTTCGGCACCATTCTTAGCAGTATGAGGAATCTAAAACATTCCATTTGAGTTTTAAAACTAACTTGTTACTCAGAAGCAGAGGGGAGGTGGGAGGTAATCAACTAAGGGAAGCTGTCAACATTCGGAAGGGATGGTATTGTTTGCCTCGAAAAAGACAGTGATTGGGTGTCTTTGGAAAAGGCTGTTCCTGTGTTAGACAACTTCGACCCAGTGTGCGGCCTTTCCTTTCTGAGATTCTCTTGCCCCTGACTTTGTTTTTGTTTGTTTTGCATTTTCTATTTTTTCTATAAAACTTGTTAAGATAAATATATATTTTAATGATCTTTTAAAATCGGAGTTTAGGTTGGTCTGAGGTGGAATTTAAGCAGGTCATTGACTCCTGGTCCTCCTAAATCTCCTGGTGGCATTTCATACTACTGGCCACACCTATAAAAGTTTCAGGCCACCCAGAAGGGTTGAGATTCTATTTTATCACTGAATATAGTAGTTGTTTATAGCATGTGTGTGATGGAACACTTTTCTTTCTCCACCTCTGTTTAACATTTGCTGGGAGAGTGTCAGCTAGTAATTTGAATTGAGATTTAGCAATACATCAATGATATTCTAGCTGCTGATGTAATGGAAATCCAGAACTGGTGTCTGAAGGCTGTGAGAATTTGAAAGGGAAAAAAAATATTTAAAATTGAATTCGAACTAGAAAGAATTAACAGAATGACAGAGTTGGAAGGGATCTTGGGGATCTTCTAGTCCAGCCCCCTGCTCAAGCAGGAAAGCCTATACCAATAATGGCGAACCTTTTAGAGACTGAGTGTCCAAAATCCAGCCCTGCCTCACCCTGCCTGCCCCAGGCCACTCACTGCCTCCATGGCTCACCACAGATCATTCAGGCAGCCCAGCAGCACCATATGAGCCATGGCCTCTGCCTGCACCCCACAGCATCAACTGCATGCACTGGAGCGCAAGGGCGGAGTCTTGTCCCTGCTGCCCGGCTGACATGTTCTTGGCTGCTCTGCTCCGTGCGGGCCACGCTCAGGGCCAACTCTAATCCGGGGGGGGGCTGCTGGTGAGGAGAGAACCGTGGGGGACGTGGGGCTGGGGCAACAGCGCATGGGCCCACCTCCTGCACATGTGCCATAGGTTTGCCACCATTGCCGTATACCATTTCAGACAAATGGTTGTCCAATCTCTTATTAAAAATCTCCAGGGTTGAAGCACCCACTGTCTGTCTCTTTCGACTCCAGCAGTAACTCTGGATGAGATAGCATTACTTGGGAGTAGCAGGTGTGTAACTTGAAGGTTGTTACAGACTTAAACAGCTACTGCTGAATAAGATGAAGACTGTTTATTTAGAGAGAAACCTTTGCTCAGCTTTGGCTTTCCTGGAGAATGAGGTCCTGCTTGACAACATCAAGTTATGGTCCTGTAAACTCCCAGTTAGATTACTGAAATATGGCGTACATGGAGTTACTTTTGAAATCAACCAAAACATGCAATTAGTAATTTGCACTTTTTGCAGTTAATAGTCCCTGTTCACACATAATACTACTGCTGAGGCTTCTACATTAGGCTACCAGTAGTGCTGTTTTTTTTTTAAACTTCAAATTACACATTGCTTGGCACCAGCCCAAATACAGGATTTCAAATAAATCCTGCTTGTACAAGTAGATGGATCTTGAATGTGGTTGTTTTTCTAATTGTAATTTAAGATTCGGGTTGACTATTTTTAGGATTAGCAACTATCCCTTTCACATTTCTGTTATTTTAACTTTATTTAATTTATTGTACACTACCATTAATTTATGTGGATACTGATTTATGATATATACATAAAATAATTGCAAATAAATATACATAAATCCTTTTTTTGAGTCTCCAATGTGTTTCTGTTGCCTTTGGTTGTTGACCCTCTGGGTCACATTTTTAGAGGGAGGGATTAGGAAAAGTCATCTCCTCCCTCTGCCCCCCTCCTATAGTGGCTCCTTCTTTCAGATGGGAAATGTATTCCATTAATAGAGAGTAATCACTGATTTGTGGATTCATAACCTTTATAACATTTAGTTGGTGGATCAAAATCCCTACTGTTTGGGGATCTAGTATTAATTGACTAACTATTTAAACTGTTAGATCCAGATTTGAGTTCTGTGGAATTCTACTTGCATTCTTAGAAGCTGGTGAGTGGAAATATTTGCCAATTTCTCATTCCATCTGTACTCCTCTATGCTTGATTAGACACTGAAAATGAAGCTTAAATACTTTGGCCACCTTATGAGAAGAGGGGACTCAGTGGAAAAGACCCTGATGTTGGGAAAGATTGAAAGCAAAAGAGAAGGGAATGGCAGAAAATGTGAGGGTTAGAGAGTGTCATATACACAATGAACGTGAATTTGGGCAAACTCTGGGAGACAATAGAGGACAGGATCATGAAGAGTCAGATCGGATGTATCTTAGCAACTAAACAACATGCTTCCCAAAAAGTAGCTCCAGAAGGCTACAGGATCTTCTAGAAAATTATAAGGCAGATGCCTTATGTAATTGGTTAATGAGATTTAGAAAATGTATCACCTGCATAGGATTCCAAGGGTTTTTTTTCTACAAGTGGAAGGAGTTATGAATATAAATCTAAATTTCAGCCATTGTGGCCAAACAATGAATGGTAGATATTAAGACAGGGTCCCCAATCCCCAGGCTGCAGCCCACTAGTGAACTGGACCGTGCAAGCAGTGGGCGAGCACATATGTGCAGTTCCTTTGGCATGAGTGGCAGGCGCTTGACCTTGTGCGCAAAGCTCCATTGGTGCAAGCGGCACACATGCGCACATGCTGCATACACAAATGGAGCTATGTGCATTTGCACATATGCCTGCCATTCATACAGAATCATTCCCTCTCCCCCACACACTGGGCCGTCAAGCCGGGGACTGCTGTATTGAGCCATATGTGAAAAGAATATCTTTGCTCAGGTTTTGATGATATGCCAATTTGTTCAAATATAATAAAACCAGCTTAATACATGATTAAACATTTTTGAATAATTTATAATCCATAGCTAAACATTCTTCAGCATTTCAGTCTTCCACTAGTTGAGTAGTCTTCAAATTATGTATCTGTGTGCTACTGATGGACCCTGAAGACTAAGCTATCATTAATTATTCCAGTACATCTTGTTTTGTTCTTTTTGTCCAGAATGCCTTAATTGTAGATTAAGCAACTCTTAATTATTTTCTGCTAAGGATTATTCACAGTTCTGCAGGCTATGAGGACAACAGTTCCTTTGTCCAGTATTTACAT